TCGGGTTTCCCCATCATTTGCCCCATCGATACAGCCACACAGACTTTGACCAAACGACTCTGTCACGGTGGTGGACCGTGATAAAATAACAAAGGAGTGTATAGCCCACGCTCTGATGCATATTGAGATCAACTTCACTCACGTTGGCAGTACACTCGGACCAAAACACTTCAGAATGGTGTCGGACTGTGGAAGACTGGTAAGGGAGTGCATACATTGAGTAAGTGGCCCAAGTTCAGATGCATATTGAGATAAGATCAAGGCACGTGGCTCAATCAAAACTTAATAATAGATAATAGAGGCAGACATCAATAAAATATGGAGGGAGCGCATACACGGATCTAATGATACAAGTTGAAACGCATACTTAGAGCAAATTAACCAGCAAAGTCTACGTAGACTTGAAGGCAATGACCCTGTTACAGTTTTGAGCTGAGATAAAATGACTCGGGAGTGCACACATGGGCTCAATGCATATTTACCAAGATCGGATGAATCAACGTGGCTCGACTTTGGATGAATAGACGTGAAAATGGCGGCAGACTTAGATAAGATGTCAAGGGAGTGCATACACGGAGCAAATGATCCAAGTTTAAATGCATATTTGAGACCAAATTATCCGGCACTGGCTGGAGACTTGGACACCATCCATCCATCCATTTTCCATGACGCTTTATCCTCACAAGGGTCGCGGGGGGTGCCGGAGCCTATCCCAGCCGTCATCGGGCAGTAGGCGGGGGACACCCTGAACCGGTTGCCAGGCCAACACTGCGACAGGGCACACAGAGACAAATAACCATTCGCGCTCACACTCACACCTCGCGGGACAATTTGGAGTGTTCAATCAGCCTGCCATGCATGTTTTTGGAATGTGGGAGGAAAAACTGGAGTACACGGAGAAAACCCACGCAGGCACGGGGAGAACATGCAAACTCCACACAGGGAGGCCGGAGCTGTGATCGAACCCGGTACCTCTGCGCCGTGAGGTCGACGCGCTAACCACTGGACCACCGACTTGGACACAAAAGACCCAATTATGGTTGTAAACCGAGATAAAATGACTCGGGAGTGCAGACAGCGACGAAATGAGCCATGTTCAGATGCATACAGCGCTTACACCAAATAAACCAACATTGACAGTGTCAGCTGAAGAAAATAAAGAGTTTTACATTTTTACATCACTCATTGAAAAACGCAGTCTTGTATCTTTTAAAATTACAACTGAATCGTCATATTATTCCATATATGTTTATTAAATTTTTTTTTTTTTTTTAAACGGCTTGACATTTCCTTACCTCATTTGGTGAAGTTTTGTTCTCGGATGGCATTTTGTAATGCAGGTGTACCTAATGGTGTGTCCGGAGAACGTGACGTGAATTTAATGAGCCCCCTGAGGGAAACCCAATTAACATTCTGGGCAACAGACGCCTCGTTTGCAGTGTTTGTTTGTTGTGACTCGCACCTTTTACTCTTTGTCGTGCCTCAAAATGACTGCCAGACCATTGTCTCACTCGCACACGCGCCACGCACACACTCAGCAGTTGGTGGCGTGTGAGGCAAAGTGACACCGAGACTCATCACACGGTCCGCTAAGGTCTCACGAGCTCACCATTTGCTCTTGAAAATGATTTTTATCATTCTCGTAATGGACGTGGAGCACATCGCACGCCGCCCTCACGCATCGTCCTATCTCGTTTCCCGCTGATGGTGATGGAAAACCTTGATTGCTTCACACACACACACAAGCGTGTATATATATATAGCAAGTGTTAATTTGCTTGTAAGTCAGCCCAGAAAATACAGTGCGTTTCTCGCAGATTTAAGGGGGCCATTAGGATGGGAACGGCTCAGTCAATATGATGATCACGCTCTCCTATTGCAAGCCATAAATAACCGGGCTGTGTCGGAGGGTGTCAATAAACAGTCTTTTCTGCTCTGCGTACTACGCTCTGTTTCGGGGAAGGCGGACACTGGAACAAGTTTTTGTTGAATTTAGTCCGTTTTATTTCTTCAAGTAGTGGCCGAAAATAAAATCATCTGGACCCTGGTGCATTTTGCATCGACTTAAAAAAATGCATCTGCATCCACTCGATGTCATAAGATGGAGTCAATTCTTCGCACCAGTTTATTTATTTTTTTCAGTGGCCGTGTGGATTAAGTGGCAGAGGTGTAAATGTGAATTTCGACCGCATGAAATTGTGCCGGCTGCATACCCGAACAAATGACTGCAGCCACTTTGGAGCCATCCAGTCCTCCCTCAAATGTCACCCTGCCGCTTGTCTCGCCTTAACTAGAACTCTGCCTGTGTATTTTTTGGGGGGGTTGGTGTCAAGATTCTGCTGTCGCTCTCTTGGTTACGCCGTCCTTCCAACCCTCATCTCCAGCCTCAGGTCATTTCGTCCATTCCGGTTGGACTTGACAGGCCGAAAAGCAAGTTAGCCAGTACTGTTAGCATTCTTCAACCAAATGTTGGTCGACTGAGATCAACTAACTGAGGAGTGCACACGCGGCCCGAATGACTCACGTCGGCATGCAGAATCCAACCCAATGAACCTGAACTGGCAGCAGACTTGCCCTAAATAACTCCATAAAGGCAGCGGACTGAGATGAAAGGACTCGGGAGTGCATACTCAGATCAAGCGTCTGGGCTTTTCTGCCCTGTGCGGCATTGTGCTCAGATCGAAGCGTTGAGCAGAGGAAACTTGTTGTCACGCTGTCGTTTTGCCTTCTTTTCTTGTTGTTGGTGGTGTTGTTTTTTCCCCTCTTTTCTTTTCTTTTCCACGATTTAGTCTTTGGCCCTGAGCTGCTGTTTGGTCTGATGGCTGCCCTGCGTCTGATCCCCCGCTTTATGCAACCCACCCGCACGGCTTTGCCCTGCTTTTTTTCCCGGCTCGCCTCAGGCTAACGTATTGTTATTCTGTCTCTTCTTCCTCACCCTCGCTTTTCCCCTTATTAGCATCTTCGGAAGATTTATTTATTAATTTTTTGCTTCCTTCCGACACATCCTCCTTCCACTTTGAAATGTGCCTTTTTCTGCCAAGTGAAAACAACCACAACAGTCTAATGGAAAGGTGGACCCGTCCTATGTCACATTTTGGACAAGGGGCGTGTGCCTGAAACAAAATATTTTGACATTGTACAAATCATGATCAACTCTCCAAAAATAATTCAGGTGAGGAGCATGGCAACTAAATGCTGCTTCACCTTTTTTGGTTCTGCGAACACACAAGGGACCTGTCTCAGACGACCTGAGGGGTCCGCATACTTCGTAGGGTACTCGTACATCTTGCAAGATGATTTCGAGGTTGATGGACCAGCAGCAAGATTTTAAAATCTATTCTTTGACTCGCCGGAAGCCACTGTAGTGATTTGAGGACAGGTATGATGTGATCCAGTTTCCTGTTGATCAAACGTGATTTTTATCTCAGTCTATCACTCTGACGGAGTCATTAAATCTGCATCTCTGCATCGCAATTTCAGTCATGCGCTCCATGTCATGTCATTGCAGTCTATCACTAGAACAGTGGTTCTTAACCTGAGTTCGATCCAACCCTCGAGTTTCAGTGAATCAGTCTCAGGGGTTCGACGGAGCCTCTGCCATGGAGGTTAAGACACACCCGACTCAACATGTCAATTAGCTATGACACGCCCACTTGGCCATCACTGGCTGGTTCATTTTATGCACCATTAAAAAACGTATACTTTATACTTATACTCATTGTGTTTACGTTTTTTTGTTTTTAATAAATGTGCTTTTGTAATGTCTTGAATTTGTAAAAAAAAACAAAAAAAAAATCACATTTTTATTTTTCCACGAATAAAGGGTTCGGTGAATGTGCATATGAACCGGTTGGGTTCGGTTCCTCGAACCAGTTTAAGAATCACTGCACTCAAATTTTGGCTTTTTTTTTTTAAAATGCTTTTCCATGGATGTTTTGAGTTTCGATTTACCAATAAAGTGGCCAGGGAGTGCATGCAGACCTGAAGCGCATGTCAGCGTTCACGCGTGTGACAAATACACGCAAATGTCTGAGAAGATGAGCGGGGACATTAGCCGTGGTACTTTTGTGTTCTCGGAATGTCCTAAAACCTTTTCCGTGTACCATTTGCATCCACTTCAGCTCTTAGGCGTGATGACATCGTCCATTCAAAGCGCCTCCTTGGCTGGACAAAAATGTGCAATGCTAAGACATTCTCTCCAACTATATTTAAACATATGATGTATATGGGGCGCTGTGAGAGGCGCTATACGTCCGCCCGCCGCCTTGAACAAACCGGTCACATCTGAAAACCCACGCAGGCACGGGGAGAACATGCAAACTCCACACAGGGAGGCCGGAGCTGTGATCGAACCCGGTACCTCTGCGCCGTGAGGTCGACGCGCTAACCACTGGACCACCGACTTGGACACAAAAGACCCAATTATGGTTGTAAACCGAGATAAAATGACTCGGGAGTGCAGACAGCGACGAAATGAGCCATGTTCAGATGCATACAGCGCTTACACCAAATAAACCAACATTGACAGTGTCAGCTGAAGAAAATAAAGAGTTTTACATTTTTACATCACTCATTGAAAAACGCAGTCTTGTATCTTTTAAAATTACAACTGAATCGTCATATTATTCCATATATGTTTATTAAATTTTTTTTTTTTTTTTAAACGGCTTGACATTTCCTTACCTCATTTGGTGAAGTTTTGTTCTCGGATGGCATTTTGTAATGCAGGTGTACCTAATGGTGTGTCCGGAGAACGTGACGTGAATTTAATGAGCCCCCTGAGGGAAACCCAATTAACATTCTGGGCAACAGACGCCTCGTTTGCAGTGTTTGTTTGTTG